ACCAGTTTTACATTCGATAATACTAATCTCCGGTGGTGCGTTTGCAAGCCAACAGGCCGTTCGCTGTTGTCCGCGTCCAATTGCTGCCATGGCATGCCCAGCTTTGTTCTGCACACGGCTAATCTTTTGAAATCCAGCTTGCCGTTCCTTGAGCAGCTCAACGATTTCGGCGACTTGGTGCATGTTCCTGGAGCGGTCCGCTGTCCCAGCATTGATCAATGCTACGATCTCGGCACAATCAGTCTCCACGAGTAGCGGCGCTTGGGACCAGTGCAGGGCTAGCCTAAGCCCCTCTTCGCACGCCGCTAGCTCAGCTTCCAGAGGTCCATGGCAGTTGAACAACCATCTACATGCAGCAAAGATTATCTGTCCTTCGTGGTCACGTAAAATCATACCTGCGCCCGCTTCGCAGGGCGACGTAAGAGCCATCAAAGTTGAGCTTGACATGTCCTGCTGGAGGTGGCACCCATGTGACATCAGGAAGTAAACGACCTGTCATATGAGTACTCGGTGTGATACATCCACTCAGGTCAGCCGGGAATTTTCCTTTAGTGATGTCCGCCTGCAGGTAGTGCTTGATCATGAGCAGATAGTCCACGTATCCACACAGAAATTGTTTAGATGCTTCAATCGGAATCATTGGCTTATAATGGGTCAGTTCATTATGCACATGCCACAGACGCCAAAATACCATGATAACTAACATGCGTTGTGTGTCATTCAGCTCTTGGAGGAGCATTAGCAGCCAGTCCGGTTTAGAATTTCTGAGTGCATCATCAGGCGGAAGATTCCAGACGTTTTTCATTTCATTCCAAAGGTTACGAGCATGGGGGCATCGGATGAGTGCATGATGGGCAGTTTCATTCTCTTGCCCGCAAATCGTGCACACACTAGCTGTCTCCATATGCCTTCGATGCTTGTTTGCCCGGGTGGCTAGCGCCTCACGAACAACTTTCCATGCGAAGATGCAAACTTTCGGTGGAGCTCCACAATTCCATAGCAGTTTCCAAGCCGGTCTAGTACCATCAGGTCTGGTGCTCGAGTCACCAACACCTTGCTGGGCAATGATTTCGTCCCGTGCCACATTGTACGCGGAGCGGACTGAGAAGCGACCATGCTTGTCCGGTTGCCATGCAATTGCATCATCTACCATCCGGCTAGAGGGTTTGATTTTCAGTATTTCCGCGACGTCCATTGCGAAGAAATGCTGCCGGAGAAGAGTTACATTCCAGGTCCCGTCAGCATTCAAAAGATCAGCGACCCACTTCAATCTACACCGGCGTTTTTGTGTGATCGGTTTAAAAGGTGCCCCCCTTGGAATCCAGGGGTCACGCCAAATGCGAATGTTTGCCCCATTTCCGACACGCCAGATGTATCCTTTCTTTACCAGTTCGAGGCCGTGTTCAATGGCATGCCATGTAGTCGACCCATTCCCTGTGAAAACTGTATCAGTGATGTTGCCAGAGGGATAATACTTGGCTCGGAGGACCTGTGCACAAAGACTGTCCCGAAACTCAATAAGTCGCCATGCTTGCCTTGCTAACAAGGCCTGGTTAAATAATCTAAGATCTTTAAATCCCATACCGCCTCTTCCTTTCGGACATAGCATGCTGTCCCAACCGACCCAATGAGTTTTGCGCTTGCCCTTTTCTGCACCCCACCAGAAGCGACGAATCATCTTTGTTAACTCCTCACACAGGCCAGCAGGTACCTTGAACACACTCATGATATAGACCGGGAGAGCTTGCGCAACCGCTTTAATTTTTATCTCCTTCCCTGCCATGGACGGTTGATTATCACCACACTCCATCAGACTTTTTGCTAATTTCTCCTGTAGGCTTTTTAGCTTCCCTTTACTCATTCTGCCATCTGGGGTAGGGAGGCCGAGATATCTAGCTTCAAAGGTAGTTTGCGTGACCTGAAGAGTGATTTTAATGCTCTCTTGGGTTCCCTGCTGACACGCTGGGCTGAACAAGATTGAACACTTGTTTGGATTGATCATTTGCCCTGTTCCCTTAGCATACACATCCAGAATGTGCTTCACTCTTCCTGCCTGCCCCAGCTCTGCCTTGAAGAACAACAAGGTGTCGTCTGCGAATAGCAAATGGGAAATTCCCGGTGCTCTTCGGCAGACTCTCAGCGGAGTGATTGTACCCTGGGTCACTTCACGTTGCAACAGAGCAGAGAGGCCATCAGCGACAAAAAGGAACAGAAAAGGGGATAGTGGATCACCTTGGCGAAGACCTCTTGTTGGGAGAAACGAATCAAGCAGGGTTCCATTGAATTTTACCGAATAGCTCACCGAGGTCACACAGGACATTACCCAATCTACCCATCGGGGAGCGAAACCCAGACTCTGCATCGTTCTTTTAAGAAATTCCCAATCAACTCTGTCGTACGCCTTTGATAGATCTAGTTTATACGCACAAAAAGATTCATGTTCCTTTTTGCAATGCTCAATTGCATGAAAGCACTCAAATGCCACTAACGCATTATCAGTTATCATACGCCCGGGGACGAAGGCACTTTGATTTAAGGAGATTATCTCCCCAAGCAAAGGGCGTAACCTGTTCACCAAGCATTTGGCCACTATTTTGTACAGCACCGAGCACAAACTAATGGGTCGGAACTCCTTCAGTGTCTCCGGCTGATCAGACTTTGGGATCAACACAATAGCAGTGGCATTCGTTTCTGACGGCATGTGTCCAGTAACAAAGAAGAGCCTAACCGCGGCAACAACCGTATCCTTTAAGACAGCCCAGTTTCTTTCATAGAACCGCGCTGGAAACCCGTCCGGCCCTGGAGCTTTTAGGGGTCCTATTTGAAACAACGCATCCGCAATTTCTTTCTCCGAGAAATCTTTGCAAAGTGACTCGTTCATTTCAGCCGTTACTTTTTCCTCTATAAGACCAACAATCTGATCTGCATTTAACGATGGGTCACAGGTGAACAATTCCTTGAAAAAGGACGAGGCCATCAGCTCCATAACCGACGGTGTAGACTGCCAAACTCCATCATCATCTTTCAGTTTTTGGATTTTATTCTTACGTGCTCTCCAAACAGATCTATTGTGAAAGAACTTAGTATTTCGGTCCCCCTCCTTTAGCCAAACAACCCGCGATCGTTGCAGCCATAGGAGTTCTTCTTTATAGAGTAGTTCATTCATGCAGTCAGAGAGTCTTCTGATTTCATGCTGGTCACCATTGGATTGCAGCAGCTGGTCCAGTCTTCTACGTGTCTTTTCAAGCTCTCGCATGACATTGCCAAATCTTCTTCTGCTCCATCCTTGCAAATGTTCCATTACACCATTCAGTCCAGCTGTAACCGACGCAAGGTTGCCACTGGTATGTGTGGCAGCCCATGCTTTTTCAATTAGTTCTGGTAATTCCCCCGCACGCTCCCAAAAGACCTCATATTGACTTGATCGTCGGCGTCTCGGAATAGCCTCCTCTCTCTGCATATGAACAAGGATCGGAAGGTGATCAGAACATGGCGACACCAAGTGTACCACATGCGCATCTGAAAAAATATCCCGCCACCGATCATCAGCTAGGGCTCTGTCCAGCCTAACTTTAACATTTGCTCTACCTATCCTTTTATTGTCATAGGTTAAAGGAGCACCTTTAAATCCTAGATCATGAAGCTCACAGTCTTGCACCACTTCACGGAACGCGGCAATCTGGCCGGCCGGCCGCGGGGTAGTAGACAAATGTTCGCATTGCCAGAGTGCCTCATTAAAGTCTCCCATGAGCATCCATGGAAGATCACTGGTAGCACACAAATCAGATAATATGGACCACATGCAATGCCGGTTTTCAGTGCGTGGTTCTCCATACACACAAGTAAGATGCCAGGGAGGGTCAGACGGAGTAACACGTACATGAGCATCAATCACTCTATCATTTGTATCCTTGATCTCGACTGACATCTGATCGTTCCAAAAAAAAGCTAACCCACCACTCTGACCATTGCTATCGACACCACAGAAACCTCGAAGACCTAGACGAGAACACAAACGACGGACTTTTTCAGACTTCTGCCTAGTTTCACACAAGAAAATGAACTGCGGACGATAACTTTGAACAAGGGCAATGAGGTCACGAACTGTCGAGGCGCCCCCAATTCCTAGGCAGTTCCAGCTTAGGCCTATCATTGCTGCTGACGGGGCACCACACTCGGCCCCGTCAGTTCGCCGGCGGCCCCTGGGCCGGCTGCCTCCATATCCACCTCACGCAACTTGCTGCTAGCTTCTTCCTCCCGAGGCAACTCCCCCCTGTACGGCTGCAGCTGGTGGTTGACTCTCCCTGTCTCAGTCCTTCCCCACTTCAGAACCACCTCAAAGATCCTCTCAACAGCTAGTACAGATGCCTTGATCTGATCACAATCACGCAACTCGTCTGAGCTTCCCACCCCAGGGACTGCAGTTCCACCGTCCGTCGGCTTCGGGCGGGCAGCATCCACTAAGGGAGCCCCATGGTCGCCCCAACCAACATCGGGTATCTCCTTGGTCCCCTCCGGCCGGATCGCAAGTTGTTGCACGGCCTTTGACGTTGCATCTGGATTGGATTGCACAAGGGACTCACGGTCTGGTGGTTTGATGCGATCTGGCGGATCCCAGACTTTGAGATGATCTAGAACTATCTCCCCCGACCTTGCTGGAAATAGCGGGTAGTAAGGAAGGGATCTGGCAGAGGGATTTGGATTCTGGCCGCCGTTGGAGTGGAATTTCAATCCCCCAAACTCTACATCAGGCAGGCCGCTGCGAGCACTGAGTCCCAGCGACATAAGGGCGGACGAAGCCGCAACGGGTCCATAGTACGTCCGGCGGCCGCACATCGAAAAAGCGCCGACAGGGGCCATAGCCGCGTCGGACAACGGTGGCGGCGAGGCCATCGCCTCGGGATCGCCATATTCGCCCAAACCTAACGAAGCGTTAGGCATGACGAAACTTTTTAGGAGCACTAATCTTTTTCACTATATCATTTATTATCATCAATATCTCTACTACTCACTCTGTTCCTAAATATAAGTCTTTTTTCTTTAGAGATTCCAATATGTCATAAATACAGAGCAAAATAAGTGAATCTATATTTTAAAATATGTCTATATACATCCGTATGTGGTCTATATTGAAATCTCTTAAAAGACTTATATTCAGGAATGGAGGGAGTATTAATTGACAATCACAAGTTTTCTAATGCAACAAAATATCATACATTATCTTTTTTCTTATGGTGTACGCATCCACGCGCCCCTGCGAAGGGACGCCGTGCGCGACACGATGGAGGACGTCGTGGTCGGGCCTGTCGTCAATGTGATGCTCGAGAATGCCAGGGCATGGAGCACGACATCAAGGACAACCGTGTGGAAGACGGGTCATCGGACCGTTCTCGTGTACGCAAGTTCGTGAATGCGGTTATATGATATTTCTTGTTAGTCATATAGAGAGTCAGGTAGGCTACATTCTCAAATAAAGTATGTACATTCAAAAGTCATGAAATTCGTTAATGAAATGTGTCCTACAACACTTGACAAGTCTTATAGAAATGAATCCACTGCAAAAGCGTCTTACGCCCAAGGTTCAATCGAACAATACAAGAGGTGCGTTAAATGTGTAACATCTCTACTATCAAAGGGAATATGTGCGTAATCATCATTCATAGCAGTCACTCATGAGAAATAATTTTGAAATCAGGCGCTCAATTTGGAATCAACCATTAATGCAATTAATTTGCTACATAGTTAATTACATATTCAATTTATTAGGTCCATTAAAATATGATTTTTTTGCATTAAATCTATATGGAAACCAAGTGACTAATGCAATTTAGATAGATAATTATGCCTACAAATAATGAGAAGTAGGGATTTTTTCCCCAATTAGATATATAATGAATTAATTTG